GCAAGGTTGTTTGTTACCTCTCCAGAGAGCTGAGTTATGAATTTGAGTTGATACTCTGCACTGGATAGATCCATACGATTGCAGTTACCCCTACTGGGACACTGTCACACAATCTGGCCCGCAGCGGTGTGTGGGTCGGGCAATTGCGCTGACCCTATCGCCGCTAGGCATGCCTCAGCCGGTAGGGCAACTGCCAACTAAGTGCTTCACTACATTACCACAGTACTGCGTTATTACATTTCCGAGTAACTGCATTGCTAATTGCTATATATCTATAACTGTTCGGGGCTTCAGACTGACATGTGGAAGTTGCAGATCAGCATCTGACCTTGCAGCCTTATGGCCTCTGCTCAGATTCCCCAGTGTCAAGGTTTTACGTGTTTCACAGTTGTTTTTGGTTATCTGATTATTCGGCTCCTGTGTTTCTTGCAATTTTTCCGCTTGAAGAGACGAGGAGCTTGGCGACCTGTCCTGCCCTTATTGCTTTTGACTGGTGCATTCTTCCATTTTGGTGTGTCTTCGTGGGGTAGTAAGTGAGGGCCGTACACCACCCATAGTGTTATAAGTGCATAGCTGACGGCAGTGGCCGGCTACGTCCTCATGTGTTCAAGCACAGCTGAAATCTTTTCCGGAGTCCTTGCAGGCCTTTACAGTGTACTTCTCTCACCCTCTGCCTTGCGGCCCCAATTACTGGAACATAAATGTTCAGAGCTGCCTAGGAGTTTGACTGGGGCAAAGACACCCGGACTTCTCCTAGCCGAGGGGTTGTACTACAAGGGTTCCGTTTTCAGATGCTCTGCCACACATCTGCAGCCCATGCTTCAAAGAGAGAGAGAGAGAGAGAGCATTGTGATGGAGACATCACAGGCCAGAGCAATGAGGCATCAGACCACATTGCTTGTCATCGCTGATGGCATTTGATTGGCATAGAGTTTGGGGTACATGATACCATCTGTGCATAGGAGGATGACAAAGGGACAGCGTGGAATTTTGATAATTCATGCTTGTAGATTGTCTTAAGTTGGTCATCCAACAAGACTGGCAACGCCTGAAACCATAGATTCTCAACCCTGGAGACATGGGCCCGTACCATAGGCCTTCAGCATCATGAGGGGGGTTTTACGGGTAAAGATACGTAGAAGGTATGTAAAAGGCATATAGGGATCACAGGCAATCGGTGCATAGTAGGAGCCCAGACATTGGACCTCAGGTAGGTTGCAATCTCGCCGGCTACAGCTACACTAAGCCCGTAAACCCTAAACCCTAAACTTTGAAAAGCCCTAAACCCTAAACTAGGCGCAGCCCTAAGCTCAAAGTTTGGCTGAGGACCGGTCAGGCAGTCGCCAATAGCCATGCCGCGTGAAGCTTAGAAGGGCTTAGGGTTTAGAGTTTTGGGCTGAGGGTTCAGGGATTAGGGCTTAGGGCTTAGGGTTTTCAGGTCGAGGTTGTAGTTTCCCTACATTTCCCATGACTAATGAAGCAGGTTTTGGCATAGGATTTGGTGCCTTCAGGTTTTTCTTCTCCAGGGTCCTGGGGTTTTGGGGCTTAGGGATGAAGCCAAGGTCTAGGAAAGGTCTCCGCAACGACGTCTTGGTTTTTTTTAGTCTAATGTGGCTCACCAAATGCCGTGAACGGCCTCATTCCCAGGAACGATGGTATTGAATTCGTGGAATGATGGTAGTATTGGTTATGACCATTCGATGATTATTCTACTACTACTACGACTACTACCACCACTACTACTACTACTACTATCATTATTATTGTTATTATTATTATTGTAATACTATTTTGTACTTTTTATGACCATGATGACCATGATGACCATGATGATGAGGATGATGATGATGCTAGTGCTGGCAGGATGGGTGATGCTCAGAGTTTCCGTGGTCGAATGCATACCTGCTATAATCAGAGGGATGCCGCAAGTGAAAGCCTCTTCCGTATGCTTCTAAGCAACTAATTTACGCTACGGTCAGAATGATACGTTTTTGGCTTTTTGACCTTTGACAGCTGCTTCACACCACAGTGAGGGTACGGGACCCCACCCCTAACACGTTAAACAGCTGAGCCCCGAGTCCCAAGGCCTCAGCCCGCTTCACTGGGCTGTTGTCAAGGGACTTAAGCTGTTCTACCACACTATGGATATACACTACCTGTTTCCCCTGCGAGGGTAGCCCAGTTTAACTGCTTCATCAGCAACCCAGCTTGCTGTGGGAGATCGCTGCTCTGAAGCCAACCAAACCCCAACAGTCCCATTGAACGCAGTCGGCACCTCAAAGCTTACCAAGGCAGATTCCAGATGTAGAATGATCCAATGAGTTCGCCACCAACAGCGCGTGCTCAATTTTCTTTGTGGTGATCCTCTAGACCTTAAGCCCCAAATCCAGAATTCTAAACCTTAAACCATAGGCTCTACTAGTAACCCTTAACCCTCCCCCTAAGTCGTTTTTTCTTTCAGAAGCCCTTGGCAGGCGCTGGCGCACCTAGCGCTGGGGCAGATCCCAGAGGCATCTTCAGGTTGTTGGTTCAAAATTATGGTATCCATTAGGGTAATATTAGGGTTATATGGGGGATAATGGAAAAGAAAATGGAAACTACTATGATGGGTTCTATGGGTGGTTGGTCAAAATTATGGTCCCTTTTTGGGTCCCTATTATAATCAGGCACCTAATATTTAGGGTACACAAAAAGGGACCATAATTTTGACAACCACCCAAATAGCGCTTTGTGGGTTGGAGAGAGTTGTGTGTTGTTCTCAAAAGTTTGCTGGTCTGTGCCCATGCCCTAAACCCTAGAGCCCTAAACCCTAAACCCCTAAACCCTAAACCCTTAAACCCTAAACCCTAAACCCCAAACCCCAAAACCCCAAAGCCTGAGCCTTACATCCTAATTTTCCATCCTCAGCCCTGAGCCCTCAAATCCACACCCCAAGTCCTGAACCCAACCGCGTAAACCCTCCCTCCGCCCTGGCCCCCAGGCCCTGAACACTAAAACCTTAAACCCTCAAAACCTCATCCCCTTCACCCTAAACCCCTAAACCACAACCAACTAAATCCTAGAACCATAAAACACTAGCCTTTGCGATCCAGAGGCATGCCTTAAGTAATATACTAGTTTCCATTTTCTTTTCCATTATCCCAATATATCCGCAAATACATCCCCTAGAATTATTATATAATCCCTATAGTCCCTGCAATTTTGATTTTCTTTTCCGTTATCCCTAGCTAACCCTATGTATATTATAGTATAGCAGTTTCCATTTGATTTTTTATATCCCTAAACCTTGTATGGTAGTTTCCCAAAGTAAGGGGACCCCAACATAGACCCCAATATGCTGTAAACCCTAAATCCCTAAACCCTAATCTCTAAACCCTAAACCCTAAATCCCTAAACCCCTAAACCCCTAATCCCTAAATCCTTAATCCCTAAAGCCTAAACCCCAAATTCCTGTATTGATGGCAGGCTTTGGCCTTGGCATCACAGGCTCCACAGGATTTGGCTGAACGAGGCTCTTGAACGCCACTGGAGTAGTGCTTTAGGGTTTAGGGTTTAGGGATTTAGTGTTCAGGGTGTAGGGTTTAGGGGTTTAGGGTTTATTACCAATACTTGGGAGTGGATTTTTGAACTCGAAATGTCTTAAAATGAAGGAAGTTTGGGAACCCCAAGTGATGGTAAGTTTTTGTGGGCTTGAGGGTTTAGGCTTTAGGGTGCAGGGTTTAGGGTTCAGGATTTAGAGTTTAGGGTTAAGGGAGTAGTGCTCTGAAATTGTGGGGTAGTTCCCAAAACTAGAGGTCCATAGGGGTTATTTAGGGATAATGGAACAGAACATGCAAGCTACTATTTAGGGTTTAGGGTTTAGGATGGGCCATGTTTTTTTTTTTTCTTTTATCCGCCCTGGTTTGGCTCACCCCTTGGGGATTTCCTACAATTTCTAACTCCAAAGAGAGCCTCTGGTCCTCTGGTCCCCTGGTCCTCTGGTTCTTTGGTCCCCTGGTCATGGTCCTCTGGCCCCGTGGTCCCCTGGTCCTCTGGTCCCTTGGTCCTCTGGCTCTCGATCCTCTGGTCTTTGGTTGCGGTTTTTGGAAGGTTAAAAATACTGCCGGTTACAGCTTTTGGAGCTTTTGAAAAGACAGGACCCCTGCAAAGTACGATATTTGTGGCTTTTGAAATGCTACTCGGCTTCTTGGCTTCTCGGCTTCAGTGGCTTCTTGGCTTCTCCGCTTCAGTGGCTTCTTGGCTGCTCGGCTTTGGTGGCTTCTTGGCTTCTCGACTTCAGTGGCTTCGTGGCTCTTGGGGGCTTCTCGGCTTCAGTGGCTCTTGGCTTTTTGGCT